CGGGGTGGGGAGCTCTACCAGAATCACCCGCCAAACTTCACCGGGGGCGTCTCCCGGCGCCCCTGCGCTCGGGTGACGAACAGCGCCCCGGGCTATCCCGGGCGCCCTATGGCGTCCACCTTCGATCGGAAGGGTGATCTCGACTCGGGCTGAGGCGGGCCACAACAATCCGCGGTCACATCGGAGCCGTCCAGGCTAACGAGGCCCCGGCTCACGGGTAACCCATGGGGCTGGACCGGGAGTCCGCCGTTAAAGAAGAAAGAAATGTAGTGCAAACCAGAACCAGTTTTTTTTATTTATTTTATAACTCGACTAATAATCGTCACAAAATTATAAACTTGGTACCTACGGATAGCCCTGGGCCCAACCTAATACAGGATGTCCATAACTATGCGCTAATTAAATAATTAATGGGTATTAAGGTCGGTCTTAGTAAATTGCTATATAAAGTCTAAGACCAGAACCAGTATTTTAAATTTATTTTATAACTCGGCTCCTAATTGTCACAAAATTTAAAAATTGGTACCTATGGATAGCCCTCGGCCCTACCTAATACACCGTGTCCATAACAATGTGGTAATTAAATATTTACTGGGCGTTAGGGTCGGTCTTAGTAAATTGCTATATAAAGTCTATATAAAATTTTACGAATTTAAAAAAAAAATTCCTACCGTCAAAAATAGCGACGCCTAGACCACCACACCTGTTCTGACGTTAAATCCTACTTGCACACACGTGTGGGAATAGATTAGATATCATCTAGAGATAGAATTCCTAATTATTTAATTAAAATAGAGACTCTAGATTTAATAGTTGTGTCATAGTTACATTAAGTCGAATTAGCGAAGCGGAGGCGGGAACTAGATTCTAGATCTAACACTTCGATTGCGATGAAAAAAAAATAGCTTTATTTTAAGGCCGACAAGGCAAATACGGTTTAATTAATATTAAAGAAATAAGTCCGAACACCTACCTTAAGCGAATCATCTACACAACACATGACTAGAAATAATACACGTCCACACGAAGAGCGATTGAAACGGTGACTGCAACGGTGAAAACTTGTACGACGGAAACATGGCGCCTAGGTTATGCCTACTTCCGGTCTGATGAAAATTTTTAATTCATTTTAAATTTTGCGCTCTATTTCGTCCGCGCTTGTCCACTTAAACTCTACAGAAAAGATAGTCTATATAAAAATAATTCCTAGAAGACAATTTTATGAGAGATCACCCACATTTATTTACCCTGCCTGTCTACCTTAGGGTTAGAGTTTGAATTT